ATTCATGGAAGGAAAAAGCACATGCATGGAGACAGCATGGGACATGACCCAAGCACAAAAGCAACCAGTGTCCATAGAAAAAAATCTTTAAAATTCACACCCCTTCAATTGTATGTAGCTAACTCTCTTGCTGGTTACCCAATATTTTTTACCCCCATATAAGACCCAACTTAACCTCCCAAGCTGTTGCTGCAGGATTTGGAACAGGAGAATAAATTACAAGAATATGATTCCTTCTCAATGGTTTTAGGGTGTATAGTTGTCCTCATTTGTTATCCACAAGACTCTATTCACTCAAGAAGGGAAAAAAAAAAAAAGCCATCAACCCTCCCTCTGCTTTTTCCTCTGTGGTGACTTTGTTTCTATAAAGGGAAGAGGTAGGTGGGAACATCTCTTCAGGGATGTTGACTTACAAAATGTGAACACTACATGCCACACATGGAAGGGAGCTTGATGTGGATGTGGGAACTGCCTGGTCACACACAAGGTTCTCTGTGGACAAGTTGGCATACAGCTGCACAACCCAACTGAGAGACAGGGGAGGCAAACAGCTCCTTGAATTCTCCCCTGGAATATGCCCCTGTCATATTCAGGCAGAAGCAGTAACACTGGAGAAGACTTTTGCCCTTTGTGACACAAGACTGGTAAAAGTTAATTTAAACTGGCTTGGGAAATAAGTCTCAAAGCAATGTGCAGACATTTATCCATCTTAATGACACAAAACCAAGACTCAACAGTGATGTTTTACATAACCAAATAACAGATTGTTGCATTATTCACTGACTCTGTTACCATGGTGCTCAGCTAGCCTTGAGCATACTATCTAGAATAGTAATGTGCTTCAGGTATGATGGTAAAACCCAGGACCAACATTGTCCTAGCTGGGTGTTTTTGCCTAGGTGTATGCTGAACTGAATAAATCACTGACATTGTCAGTGTGAAGGACTATCATAAGCATTTGGTGCTACCTGTGTTTGTCTACAAGACTGAGGCCACGGTGAAGTAGAAAGAGAAGGCCAGTCTTTTTTTCGTAGAATATTTTGAAGGAAACTGGGTTTCATTATCCAGTGACTGCTGTGGATGGCTGAGGAAGGCAGTCATGGAAATACACACAGAAAAAAATGTTGAAATACCTGGGCTTCTTGATGAAGACATTTCTCTTGAATACTGCAGGTAACTCAGTGAAAAACAAATGAACCAAATGCATATTTTTCCTTGAACACATTACAGCCATTCCACACAGGTATTGTACTCATCACCAGTTATTCATTAAGCAGCATGACTAATGTCTATCACGTGGTGTTTGTTCACTCATTATCTGTCCACGGGTGAAGAAGTCTGGTGCAGTGGTATGCAGGTTGGTTTCTTTATTATTATTTAGTATGTGTTACTGTACATTCAGGGCACAAAACATGCTAAGTGTAAATACTTAGGTCAAGAATTGTGAACAATCCCACAGAGAATTTTTGAACTATCTACAAATGTCTCATATTAAATTCTACATCATCTGCAGACCACCCTTATCCTTTCCATATACTGGACTGTACCAGAGAAGGCAAACTGCTTGTCACAATAGTACACCCCTCAACTTACTTAAAACCATACATGGCTAGATGCATAGCACTTGAAAGCAATGTTGGAGTTGTCCAACTTTCAATGCATAGAGAAAAGTGACAGATGTAGAGTTGACAGGCCATCAACTAGGCAAAACCAGACTTCCAAGTGAAAAACGGCAGAGCCTTGAAGAGGTCTTATTTCATACTCAGTACAACATGCAGCCTTTGCCACTACATGACAGGTTTCCTTTGCCCAAATAATGTCTTTTATTTGATGTATCTAAAACATCTTCTGACATTTATCCAATCATTTCAGGCTGTTCTAGGAAACATCTGTACAGCAAATGTGTCTTAGACATACAGCTTGGATGAAAGAGATTTCCTTTTGGGCTGGACAGCCTGAAATAATGACCTATGCAAATAATATAAATGATTGATACTTATGGTATTGCTCACCACAGTGCTATCTGCTGTTTCCCGCCTGATTTTTTAATGAGATTTGCAAGCCTTTGAGTGAATAACCCCAGCCTTTTCATTAACTTAGCCAGCATGAAAAGCTGTGGGGCCTATGTGGCAGGTGCTGTGGGTTAACAATAAGGGTACTGTTTAATCCAAGGGAAACAGAGAGTAGAAAACGGCCATGAATAAAAGGATATAGGATCTTTAATGAGGTCAGGAGAGGCATTTTAGATCAGAAAGTACAAGAAGAGGCCAGCTACAAAAAAATATTCCTTCTTGCCACACTCACTTGGACAGCAGCATGAAATTATGCCTTGTAATTTGTTCTGCAAAAGACAAAGGACTCAAAGAGAAGTATCTAAATGCAAGAAGTTTGTTGATATTCAGAGGATTGCTTCTACCTGTGGGAGCTGTTGGCTGCAGTTCCTAAGGGGATAGACTATTCCTCTGGACGGTCCTCCTTCACCAGGCTCACCTCTTTGAAATTAAGAGAAACTCAAGGAGTCAGTCTATCAACAGCAACAGGATTTCAACACAAGGAAAAATGGTATGTGACTTACAGGTTTGTTTGTTTTTAAACACTGACTGACTCAGTTACTGAGAGCACTAATTATCACAATCATGATTGGGAGTTTAGACTGGAAAGCAGAAATGTTGAATAGAAATTGCAAACTTTTTATAAAATGCCTGGAACTGGTTTTGCTCTCATCTGTGCTTTGTAATTGCAGTAGGTTCAGGGTCATTCATGTCATTCCTTGTGCCTTTAAGATAGTGTTTCAGTGGTATAAATTGGCCTTTAGAGACTTGGAGGCAGATGGAGAAGGGTACAGTTTCAAAATTTAATCAAATACCTTCCAGTTATGAAGCACAGATGTATTATAGGATCAGGAACACATAAGTGTAATATTGCTATAATGTGTCAGGCTACTGCTGCTGCTGTTGGAATAATCTAACCCTTTGCAGGTGACTCAGAAGGTGCAAGAGCACCAAAAAGAAAATGATATCATAGTTTGCCTATGGGAACGGTTCTACCTCAATAACTTCAGTCACTTGCCATAAGTATTTACATACCTTACAGTTTCTAAACTTTAATTTTAAATCAGCAAGTGAGGCAATGTGGCCAATGGCTTTTCAAGTTTTGCAGAGGTCTTGGGCCAAGTGATAACACCTGGGAATAATTTTAGTGTGATAATTATGCATAATGAAATTCTTCTTTCCATTTTAGTTAACAGTTCTGCCTTACAACTTCATAAAACATCCCCTATTTTTGCCTTAATAAAAAATGTTACTGTAGTTTCTCTAAAGACACTTGTTATTTTAAAAATGTTCCTTATGATGCTTTCTATTTGATCCCGCCTCTAACACATATATATGATTTTTTTTGTTGCTTGGTTGGTTAAATTTTTGTTACTATTACAGATTGGCAATCCTTTTCTTAATGTTTTCTTTACACAACTGGGGAATCCCATGCAGATAATGATTCTGATCACGTAATGTGCTTGTGGATTTTGTGGTTTCTCCAGTCCTGTGTATAAGCTGCTGGGAACCTCCTGCAGATGTATTTTCACTGAGCACTAGACACTTTAGTTGGAAGGACTGATTAAGGGTCATATAATTTTCTGTGGGTAGTCTCACACAAGAGTAGCCACTGTGCATGATCGAAGTTTTACAGATAGGTGTCTCTGGATACCTCCTAACCAAGGCACATTCCTTTGCCTTCCGCATGCTCTCCTTTTTGTTTTCTCATACTCTGCTGTGTATTTTCTACTTACTTTCTTCCTCTTTCCCATTCTGCTCTAGTCTCCTTTCTCCTGTTTCAATTATGTCTGCGTGAGACATTTCATCTGGCTCCTCTCAGCCTCTTGGTGTGTGGACTCCAGTTTGCATACCTATATATCCTCAAATCCTTAGTCTTAATGCAGTTGATTATAGACAACTCTATTTTTTAGTGTCTTCTTCCTGTTGGGGGTTGTGTGTATGTGTCTGGAGAAGGCAGAAAAAAAGCTATCCCCACAAAAACAGTGTCTATATGGTGAATCACAAAGCACTTTGCTAGGGTGCAAAACACACTGCTGTATCCTCTCACTGACTTGCTCTTTCCCTGACCCATTTGACCCTATTTCCAGCCCCCATCTATTCCAAACAGTTGCGTTGCCTTCCTTCTGCCTCGAAGTGTGAACATGGAGAAGCCTGCACTTGTGCACGGGTGTAAGCAGCAGCTCCTAGGAAAGGCTTCATGAACGGGGTGAGCTTCAACGCAGCTTCAGCCCAGATGGGGTTTTGAGCATCCTGTGGAAAATAACTAGCCAGTGTTTCTCCTTGCTCCCAAACACGCACATAGTAGCATTTATTGAAAGCACAAAATGCATGAAGGGAGACTCAGTCCCTGCTGTGAAGGATCTGTAACACACACTTGTGGAAATCTCGGGGATGGGAGAAACCAGCCAACAGCCCCCCTTCTTCTCCTCAGAGCTCTTGCTTGCCTTCCCCCCTCTGCTTTGCCACTGCTCTCCTTTCACAGCGTTCCAGCTTCGAAAACGATAAATTCCACTGAACCTGGCAGCACGAGGGAACGGAGGGACGTCAACCCTTCTCCCTTAAGGCAAAACACGGAGCGCGAAGCGCGGCTCCGTGCACAGGGACCACCCGCTCAGGGGAAGGCGCCGGGGTCGGGCTCAGCTCAGCGGCCGCCACACACTCTTCCCCACGGCAGGGCGAGAAGAGCGGAGGTCGCGACTCCGCTCCCCCCCCTTCAGGCGGACCCCCGCGGGAGAGCGATGGTGGTGGCCGGACCCAACCGCCGCTCACCGCAGCCGTGAGGCGGGGCCAACCTTTGGCGGGTGAAGGGGCGCCCCGCCGGCCTTTCCCCTGGCGGCAGCCTCGCATGCGCGGGCGGGTAGGGGGAGGAAGCGGGAGAGCACCAAATTCAAATTGGTGCTGAGGAGGGAGGGGAGAAGACCAGGGGGAGCGGAGGAGGGAGGAAAGAAAGAAGGGAGGAGGAGGGAGAGTGGGAGGGGAGTGTGGAAGACTAAGGGAACGCGGCAGAGGCTGGGAGAGGCAGCACGGCGGACGGCGAGGGAAGCCAGAACTGTCAGGGGAAGGACAGGGCGGCTTCAGGCACCTACAGCCGCAGCGCGGGGCAGCCGCCCCAGCCCGTCCTCCCGCCGGCACCATGGTGGACAGGGGCCCCTTACTGACCTCGGCCATCATCTTCTACCTGTCCATCGGGGCGGCGATCTTCGAGGTGCTGGAAGAGCCGCACTGGCGCTCGGCTACCGACGACTACAAGCGGCAGAAGACGGAGCTGCTTAAGCAGTTCCCTTGCCTGGGCCAGGAGGGGCTGGACAAGATCCTGCAGGTACAGCGGGCGCCGGGGGTGCAGGGCGGCAGCAGCAGGTGCTGCCGGGCGCCTCGGAGCGGAAAATACTGCACCTTGGGGCGGCGGAGGGGAGCTGCGGGCGGCGGAGCCGGACGGCTCCCCGGGAGCACCCCACCGTAGCTGCGTCCCCACAAAGCTCGGTGCCTAAAAGCTGCCCCTCTAGCGGGAGCGCGGGGAAACCTCTTAATTATGCCTAACTGCTTAATGGTAGAGTGATTAAATAGGTCCGCGTTTCCTCCTCTTCCCCCGAGAAGTGGTGAAGGCGGTCGGGGTTGATTTCAGTTTTTGCTGGCTGGTCCTGAGGCTGGAGGAGCGGGCTCACGCACGCAGCATGCTCCCGCAACGCCTCTAGTAGCCGTGAATGCAGCTCTTGTTTTAGCACATGGGGTGGTTTCTTCTGCCTCAATGGGTCTTGTGTTACGAGATGAAGCCAGTCTTGATCCTGTTCTGTTTGGTCTGATGTCCTTCCCCTTCTCCTTTTTTACTTTATTTTCGTATTAAATGCTGAAAACGTGTCTGGGGGTTGGGTGCGGGTCCCGAGGTCAGTTGGGGTTATCGGCTTGCGTGGAGGGATGCTCACAACTCTCGTGCGGTTATTCTGATTCCAGGACAATTACTTCCTTCCAAGCTATAAGGAGTTGATAATCGTCCTATCTTGCTCATCTGGCAGAATACTTCTTCAAAACTAATCATTAATCAATAGCGTGTATTAAATCATAGAGCAGTACAAACTTGGTTAGTGCCTTCTTATGGATGTGGCATCCATCAAAATGTGGTGACAAGAAATGGTGAGCCATAAAAAAAACAGTTTGCCCAGATATGTAGGGCTCCAGTGATGAGAATGAGTAATTTGGGACTTTACTCCAGAGATGTTTATATTGACTATATCTTCTGGGATTTCTTTTAAATTATTATTTTATATTTAAAGTCACTAAGTTTACAAAAATGCCAAAATACAGAAGACTGAGGAAATGGCTCATTAGTTGTATTGGTGTAATCAATACTGTGAAAGCGTAGAAGAGTTCTTGATCCTAAAAGTTTATGGTTTAAATTCTCTTTCTTCATTTGGTGGCTGCTTTCTGTCTGCTCCAGATAGCAGAGCTTTCTGGTGGCATTGTTCTTCCTGTTACCATCTTAGTACCCTATTAAATGTGTTTTCGTGGTATAAAGTAGAACGGCTAGATAGAAGCTTGAGATTATAAAGCGATGTTGGAAAATGAAACATGCTGGGTTTTTTTTTGAGCAGGATTTTCCTGGAATCTTGCTGAAATCTTATTCTAGGTTGTATCCCAAACCTGTTCTCATATCCTTAAGAAAAGACCCGTATTTGGACTGGGATGTGTGTTAAGCCTGGCATGTTTAACTTGCTGCAGACAAAATGTAAATCTAGATTCTGGCTGAAATTAGGATGAAATTCATACTGGTATGAGAGTATCATTAGTTGTTTTGTTTTCCTGTGATCTTTATCACAATTAATCCTGAAGTGGCAGAAAGATTTTTCTGAAAACTTCACTGTCTGTTTTCTTCCAGACTTGTAGTTTTGTTCCTGTTCTTATTCAACTTCTATATGAGAAGTGATTGAAAGAAAGGCGAGTGGCATTTCTTGTAGAGGAGGATGGCAAGGTGAAATCTAGCCCAGCTGAAGCTAGCTGGGATGGGGGAAATCATGTAAGGACATCAGGATTTTATCCTGAGAGAACTATAAAGTATATCAGAAAAAGTCTTTGTCCATCCTCAACCACTATCTATGTTGCTTCTGTCAGGTTCTGCTGAATCTTCAGCACATTGCTAACATATGTTCTCTTTTGGCAAGTCCCAATGATCCTGGTCTCATATTAAACCTCCAAATATATCTAGAATGTTGTAGATTTGAAAATGTGCATCCCCATCCCCACCTCTGTTTTGTTCTTGTGAACCTCTTTCTTTAGCCTCTTCCATGGACTACTCGAACTTAAGAATAAGTTTTTAAATTATTTGACTAATTTCTCTGCTCTTGTCTCTTTACGTTTATTTATTTTTAAATTACATTTAGTCTTTATTTTAGAACTTTTTCTCCCAGTCTGCTTGAGATCCTCACTGACACATGTCTTTTCAGAGCCACATTGACCTTTGCTATTACTTTACTGATACTTTTTAATATCCCCATTTAAAACACACTGGACAAAGATCTACAAATATCACCAACTATAAAACTTAAAATGGTTGTTGGTAGAATGCAAGGATGCTAAGAACTGTTGTGTTAGCAATAACAATTCTGTTTCCAGAAGCGGCCTGAAAGGTGACAAGGATTGAGTTATTCAGAGACTGATCTCTCTTTTGCCATTGTTCCCTATCCAGGTTAGCTTGTGTATTCATCTGAGCCTAATGTTAGCTGTAAGTGCAGTGGAAACTCTGTGTGGAATGGCTACAAAGATCTGTAGTGTCATCTTAACCACTTAAAAAGATAAGTAGGTTATCAGCACAGATTCTCAATTAATGTGCTTCACATGACCATTTATGCAGGCCTCCAAAGGCACTCAGCCACAACCATGTCTTGGGACAAGGAACTATGTAATCTCAATAAGTACAATTACCTTGGAACAAGGTATCTTATGACACTGGAATATCTACAAAAATAAGTGTTTTTAATAGTAATGTAACTGCAATATATATTGGCATTGTGGACCCTTAAAAGTAGTGTAATATCTCTGTCTTGATAAAAATTTATAGCTTGTCCTTGCCTCTTGCTGCTGTGGGCCAAAGCCCTAGGACTCTTTAGGAAGAGGGGGAGAAGGCGAAGATCCACAGTAATGACACCTTTGCCAGCCCTGTTGTACGAATGAGGTTTGGAGAGTAAAGCAAATATTAAGGCAGTTCAGTCATTTCACTCTTCTCCAGTTCCTTACTTTTACTCTTTATTACTCCATCCTGATTGTGAAACATCAGTTTAATGATAAAGGAGCTATTCATGCAGGGAGGAGCCCTCTTGACCTTCACATTACTGTTCACATGAGCAAAGGTTAGCCAACACTGGGCTACATCTTATTTACTTGGAAATCCCTTTTACTAGCCCACCAGAGTCATCAAAATCTCAAATACTTCCTATTGATAAGCATCAGGAGTGATGAAAAGAAAATGAAGAATCTGAAGATGAGTGAAAATGGCTACTTTAAAACAGAGCAATGAAACTAAAAGAGAAGTTGTTAGCTCCATTTGGGAGACACAGACAAACATACTGGGTATGAGAACAAAACACTGAGGTCTTTATTTGAAAGCATACAAGACTCTAAACAGGCCTCAGAGAGAACTTTAGAAACCTAAATGTTTAGATTTAAAGCCCAGTGCTGTGAACAAACATTTAGAAGACTTTTAAGGAAAGCTTCTCCTGGGATATACATGGCACACATGACGTTTATGCTAAAGGAAGTAACAGTCAAGTAGCTTAATAATAATTTTTCCCTTTTTTTTTTTACGTCAGGATGTCTTCTCTACTCACAAATATCAACAGGTGCATTTACAGGATTTTGGTTTGTGTATGAGGATGCCAAAGTTTTCTTCTAGAATTGTTTGTTCTTGGAATTTGTCAGTTATATTATGAAACTTCAAAAATATTCTCTGATTCTGAGCACTTTTTCCCCATAATGCTTTACTACTTGCTACTTCAAGGTTTGAATCTATGTGCAATACTCTTAGGAGAGTCTGCAAACTATAGTTTTCTTAAAAACCTGAGCTAGGTTTTAAATTATTTTTGTTAGTTCAATATTTAATTAAAAAAAAATATGACTTATGCTTTGTAGCATGATTATTTTTTTTTCAATGTAAAGTTAATATGAACAAATCTTTCCCTTTCCACATGTTCTTCAGGAGATTCTAAAGTACTAGGCTTTGTTTGTTTGGTCTTTAACTTCCTGATCCTTTCTGTCGAGGGTATTCCTTTGTTGGAATGCCAGATGAGCTGTGTCTTTCAAGACTAAGACTTTTGTATGGGCTTAATGCAGTAAAGCTGAGCAGCTATCAGACGTGGACAAGTGGCTGACAATGGAAAATGTTTGACTGCAGAGCTGTTAACAACTACATCCAATACATCTTGTATAAATCTTTGAGGTGCAAATTAAGGCTTATGCCTGAGAAGTACTTATCACTAGATTTGTCAAACAGATATCTTTAATTATGCACCTACAAAGTTCAGAAGGGATGAACCGAGATGAAAAATGTAGGACCACTGTCCACAGTTCTCTGTGGCATCTCAGACTGTTTTACGGATATTGCCACTGCAGCATTAGGAGAAGAAAACTGAGAACAGGCAGTTAACAGCTATGTTACACCACAGCTTTTGCCTGTATGCTTCTACATGCAAACTCAAATGTAAGCAGGCATTCTTTTCTGTGTGTAGGGTTTTTTTTTGTGGTTTGTTTTTTTTTTCTTCCTGTTTAACCATTAAATTGTTTGAACTTTCTTGGAACATAGTTAAACAAAGCTGATAATGCATACAGTGCAACTTTCTCTGCTGATGGAGCAATAGTAGTCGATCAGAAGTTTTCCTGCAAAAGAAAGCCTATGGGCTTTTCCTTTCTCCTGCAATGTACTTAATCCTTGAGTGCTTGTAATACGTTGTCTTGTTACTTTAGGACAGAAGATTTTTGTCCCTGCCCATGGCAGGGGGGTTGGAACTAGATGATCTAAAGGTCCTTTCCAACCCTAACCATTCTATGATTCTGTGATTTGTATTACCTGAAATGTTACCTTCTGCTACTAGGCATGTTTTCTGGCAAGTTCTGCTTTAGAGGTGATGGCATGCAAGAAGATTTTCAGGTTATCAACAGCTTGTTGTCCTGAAAGGTCTTGGAACTCCTGCTAAGGTTCATAGTGTGTTTATGGTTATTGCAAGATATCTTCTATTGCAGGTACAGTGCAACGATGACTTTGTGCAGATTTCCTTCTTAAAAAAAAACAAATTGTTGTTTTGCTATTAATACTAATTAAACACAATTTATTTTTTG